CTGTATAGTGGTTCTTATTTTTAAGTCCTCGCGCAGGAGGCTACTATAGCTGCGAAGGGCAACTTTTAACCATTACCATGTACAGGTAAATGGTTTGTGATACTCGAGTATAAACTATATGGTATATTTCTAAACCCTGATCGAGATGACGTGGTGTCATACGATCAGTTCCCCTTAAATACCTCGGGAACGCCAGAACTCCTCTTGCTGCTGTTAACATTACGTTCAGAGCATATGAGGATATAAGTTTATGGAACAGGTGCCACAATTGTTAATAACTTAATACTGGGCCATGACTAAAGCCGATGATTATTAGCAAGTCGTGGACTGCGGGTAAAGCGTACATCTGCTGCAGTAGAATATATTTGAAACTATTCGAATAGTCGTACTCATGGAGTTGAGTACCGGGACTCATATGGTACCCTGGTTAGAAATTTAAAGTCTACGTATTTACAAATTTTTGCTATAATTCTTCCAGATTGTTTATTACTGCTTTTTGCAAAGAACCCTACTATATGCTAATGCATAACATATTTCCATGATAACTTGCTGAGTATTGTGAATACTCATTCTTGCTCTCATAACCCCTTTTTCAGATTTGGGTCAAGAGGATGACCCCTTTGACTATTACTACGATGACCCCGATAATTTAGAGAGTCCCTAAAGGTTATACCTCCCTAGTCAGAATGTATAGAAACTTCCGCTGTGTATTAATTGTGAATTAATTAAGTTAGGTAAGTACCTATTATTGTAAAACCCTTAGTATTGTAAAACTTTAACATATGCAATGAAAAACCAGTTATATTGTATGTATCAATATTTACTGATCCAGAGATTGATACATTAATCGTAGTCGGATCCAAGTATTTAGTTTCGGGCTCCGACACATCGGCCGGTTAGACCGGCACTTGGGCCGCGGTCAGACCGGCCCTGGTCACCCAGACCAGTGACAGCAAATGATGAACAATGAAATTTAGCACAAGTCTAAATGCAAACATGACCTAGTGTGGAAATTAAAATCATCTCTTTGCTAGGTCATTATCCCTCTTAATAGTACGGCGAAGCTAAAAACAAACTAGCAAATTTGATCGCCCTTCACCTCGATCAATTTAAAACTAAATCACTAGTTTTACCGTCTTCTTTTCTTCGCTTCACGCCATCAATTTTAATCCATCGGTTGTCATCCATGCGCACACACATAATGTGAACCTAACTCAAAATTTATAGCACAAAGACAACGGTTAGTCCACAATTAGTGTTTGTCATTAATTACCAAAATTAACAACGGGGGCCTAGATGCTTCACCTGATTTCTTTTTAAATTACTTCCGAGCCCTTCTATGCAGTCTTTTTACTCAAAGTGCAACTTTGCCCATTCTTCAGGGGCTTTCTCTATCTAGCTGTACTCCCAGATAGCTTGGACAAAACAAAATTATAGAGGCATCTACTTTGGATTTGTTTAAAACGGGGCATTGAAACATAACGTATTTGGTCATGTTTTCTTAGGTTTTTCTGGTGCTAACACTACAATCAAATCAATTTTCTGCAATTCAATGTGTTGTTTTTTCCCCAAGGTGAAAAAGAGTTTAGGGGAAGAAATGATGAGTACATTGCAAGGAGAAAGCTTACGGGGCAACCTCATACCTTCTCATCTTGGCAGTGAGATTGCTCCTAAAGTGGGGAAGAATATGAAGAGGAGGGAAGAAGGGGGGGGGGGGGGTTGGACAACTTATTGATCAAAATATGATTAAGACAATATATTAAGTGGCGAGCTAAAGTCCCAACGTTGATGAAATGACTCCCTAACCAACTTCTAGAAATTTTAATGAAAAACTGCCCCGTGAATAGTAAGAGCTACCCAACCATTTCTCTCTCACCGCATTAATTTGTTACCTTTTTCTGAAATATAATAATACAAGGTGCATGTCAAAGATTTGTTTATTTGAGCAATTAATCTTTTCTCTTTAGTGAGGTACTCCAGTATATAAATTTTGACTAAGCAATTTCAACTCATCAGATGAGTTGCTTCAAGTATTGCTTTGTGGTATATGCTATTTTCCAAGAAATAGAATGGTGGATAAATATGTGCTTCCAAGCTTCTAAACGGTATTTTTTTTAGAAAAAAATTTCTATATATGAATTGCTTAGAACATTGTTTTATATCCATTTTAAACCCTTTTTATATTTAATAAATTGATTGTACCATCAAATAATTATAATAATTATAAAAACAATTGAGCTATTCAGACAATCAGCTATTCAACACAAGAATGGAGGGATTCAGACTATTGACAATCAAAACTCTTTATTATAATATGGAATGGAGGGAGTAAAGTAATTAAAGAATGGCTTAAAATTTCAATAGATATTTTTTGGAGGAAACTTTCCATATCAATGATAGAATACAGAACTCTCACTTGAAGTTTATCAAACATTCACAGGAATTTAATTTGTAAACTTTCTACAATATAATCTTCCATATAATGAACCTACTATCTATAGAATAGACTTTTCGTAGGGAATTAAAAACTTTCATAAAGAAAGTACAACTTTCTCTAGATATATCAAAATTGCTAAATAGGCCCATTTACATAGGCATGCTTGATCAAACAACAAGAAACATTTTTTTTTATTATGAGACCGAAAACTGGTTTAGGGCATGTTTAAAGATAGACGTTTCTTAGTTATTTAGAGATTGTTATCATGAGACAATAAATATCTAACAATTAATGCACAAAACTAATTTCTATTATCTCTTTCTTTTTCCATCTTGATAAGTATAGTTTTCTTTTATGAACACTAAGAGTCCATGGTAAGCCGCTGCTAAGTCTTGATATCGATGTTTCTTTCTTTTTTTTTCTTTATATTTATGTCATCTAGCTTAGTATCTTGTTAAGGGTGAGTTTAAATATACCATTTTCTAATTTCTACTCTCTCGTTTTTCACGCGCACACTTCTCGAACGGTCAATGGTACATTTGTTTATAAAATTTTTCTATAGACAAGTTTCTCAAAAAAACAAATTCAAGTTTTTAAGTTAATACTTAATTAATAATACTACTCCATTTTACTACTAGCGTGGATATTAGTTTTCAACCCACAACAAAGAACACAGTCCATTTGGCTACTATTAATGAATCTATCACAAAGTATTCGTAGACAACAGCATGCGCCAATTAGCTTTTCCCTATAAGGGCTCCTCCACATCATCATGTAGGCATTGTAGGTGTCAATTTGGTACTTGTTCTGCTTTAAACTCCATCGCTAAAGCAAATGCAAAAGACTCTTTTCCCTTTATCCCGCACAAGTGTGAAGTCAAGGGTGGCTCAGCTCAACGCTACTAGGAACGTGAAAGGTTCGTTACTAGTACTATAATATGGAATGGAGAGAGTAAACTAATTAAATAATGGTCGAAATAAAACTTTCTATAAGAATGATATAATACAAAATTCTCACTTGAAGTTTATCAAACGTTCGCAGGAATTTCATAAACTTTCTACAATATAATCTTCCATATAACGAACTTACTAGCTATATAATAGACTTTTTGTAGGGAATTAGAAACTTTCATATAGAAAGCAAAACTTTCTTTAGATAAACCAAAATTGCTAAATAGGCCCACTTACATAGGCATGCTTAATCAAACAACAAGAATTTTTTTATTATTTAACCAAAAACTTGTTTAGGGCATGTTTAAAGATAGACATATCTTAGTAGTTATTTAGAGACTATTATCTTGAGACTATAGATATCTAAAAATTAATGCACAAAACTAATTTTTAATTATCATTTTGTTTTCCCATTTTCATAAGCATAGTTTCCTTTTATAAACACTAAGAGTCCGTGGTAAGCCGTTTCTCAGATATCAATACATAATTATTGATATCGATGTTTCTTTCTCTTTTTTCTGTTTTTATGTAATCTAACTTACAATCTCATTTTTCGCTTATGCTTATACTTACAAGCCAAAATTTGAATTTTCAACCTTAAATTTGGAGTTGATTTTGGGGTCCTTTTATCGTAATTTATTTTCCAACCTTTACTTTTAGATCGCTAAGAACACATATATAAAAGTTGTATTCACAAATTATTTTTTATTTGCAAATATGCCTTGAATAAGCCAAACCATGGAGCCATTAGTATCTTTGTTAAGGGTGAGTTCGAATGTACCATTTTCTAACTTATACTCTACTTTTTTTTTACAAATTTTCTATAAAAAAGTTTCTTTACATCCATATTAATATGTTTCAATTCTTTTATTAATACTATTTGATTAATCATGCGTTCATCCACCACTCCATTTTACTAACTGCGTGGATATTAGTTTTCGACCCACAATAACGAATACAGTCCATTTGGCTGCTATTAACGAATCTATCAAGTATTTGAAGACAACAGCATGCGCCAATTAGCTTTTCCCTACAAGGACGACTCCACATCATCATGTAGGTATTGTAGGTGTCAATTTGGTACCTTGTTCTGCTTTAAACTCCATCACTAGGCTGCCCCATCACTAAAGCAAATGCAAAACACTCTCTTTTCCCTTTAAGAGCCCCTTTCAATTAAAGGATTTATATAGAAATTTCTCATAGGATTGAAATCCTATAGAAAATTTTCCTATTTGACCCTTTGATTCAAATGATAGAAACTTTCCAAATCCTATGAAATTCCTATGGAACGACACATTGTATGTGGATTTTGGAGGAAATTTAGCAAGAGCTTCAACCTCTTGGAAAATTTCCTTTAAGTCTATATCTCTCTCATCCGATTCCTATGTTTTTCCTGCGCTCCAATCAAACAACAATTCCTATGTTTTTTCTGTGTTTTACAATCCTCTGTTTTACACTTCAATTCCTGTCAAAATCCTATGTTTTTCTTATTCTTTTATTTTTTCAACCCTGCGATTCAAAGGGACCTTCAACCTGCACAAGTGTGAAGTCGAGGGTGACTCAGCTCAACTCTACTAGTAGGAAGTAGGAATGCGAAGGGTTCGTTTCGTTTCCACACCACCATTGGTCAAGTCAAGCTGCGCGTCCAATCCCACAACTCACTGACGCGTGGGCCCGGGTCGTCCTCACTACTACTACTGTGCAGTGCAGCCAGCACTAGTGCTCTCCTGCTCTCCTCTGCTTCTCTTCTCCTCTCCTCTCCTCACCGGGAGAGTGGAGACCCTCGAGATGCCCGGCGGTCGCCGCGGCGGCGGCGGGCGTCCTGGCTCCGGCAGCAGCAGCAACGGCGGAGGCTCCGGTGAGCACCCCTCCCCCGCGCGCTCGCGCCGGCGGCGCCACCCTCTCCGCCGGTAGGATTCAGGGCGGTGGCCTCGTCGTAGGCATGTGCGTGTATATGTTTTTTTTTTATTATTCCCGTAGATTTTGTGCTGTGCATGGCCTGCTCCGATCCCCAGTTTCCTGGGCCTCTTTGATGAGACTATGGTTTACTGCATTGCATTCTGCTCCGTCAGTAGGAAGTACTACCTCCGTCCGATAATAATTGCATTTCTACCATTCAAACTTTGTCCCATAAAAAATGTATTTACTATAAGATGAGACCCAACAAATGGAATTTGTACCCCAACTTTCCTTTTAATTAATTTGTAGTAGTAGTAAACACTATCCGGGGAAAAAAAGAAAGTGGCAAAGCTTTTGCCCTTCCTTCAGAGAAAAAAATATATTATTATTATTTTTTTATTAGATATATAAAATCGATCAGGTTAGATTCATCTTGGATCTCATATTTTGCTAGGAGGTATGGTAAGAAATTTTAGTATTTTTTCACACTTTGATAAATATATCGCGGTACTTACTTAATCATTAGTAGCAAACCTTGAGGTTGGAGACTGTATGATGCTAAGTATGTGAGTTATGACTTGATAATAAGTATGCTAAGTAGCAAACATGAGAAGTTGGTTGCATGTTCCACAGTACATTTTTTAGTTGTTCCTTTGTCGTACATTGACACACATAGGAAAATATCATATTACTTTATCTAACTGTTTTTGATGTAGGGTATAGTTGGGTTGAGAAGAAGTCGAAGAAATCGGAGAAATCAGTTGGAAAGGGACAATGCGCACCATGTACTTCTTCAAATGCTGCACCTAAACCTGCTATGGCGTGGCAAGCACGGAGTGGCAATGGATCTTTACACCCTCCTGGAAATGGTCGGGTTCAACATTCTGATCATAGGCCTGCTGCCAGAGGCAGTCCTAGGTCACTGCCACAAAATAAGCATACAGAAACAAAATTGCAAGCACCGTGTCCAGTTGTGACTGCACCTCTTGCAAATGGTTTGCAGTGGGTACCCAAGTCTCGCTCATCTGGTTCTGAGAGCAATATGGATGATGCTCCTACATCAGGTTCTGACCCTGAAATGGACAATGGTGCAACACACCCAGTTGTGACTGCAACTCTTGCAAATGGCTTGCAGTGGGTGCCCAGGTCTCGCTCATCTGACTCTCAAAGCAACAAGGATGATGCTCCTACAGCTAGTTCTGACCCTGAAACGGACAATGTTGCACCACACCCAGTTGTAAGTGCACCTGTTGCAAATGGCTTGCAGTGGGTACCCAGATCTCACTCATCTGGCTCTGAAATGGACAATGGTGAGGATTATGATTCATATGACGATGATTCTGATGATGATATGGTTGATGATACCAGTGGTGACTTTGATTCTAAGGCATCTGAGAAAAATTTTGAGACTCGAAAAAGGCACAAGCTGTTGAAAAGCATTTTTGAACTTCTGGAGAAGTTAAGTGTTGAACAGATAAATGAAAAGACTAGGCAATGGCATTGTCCAGCATGCAAAAATGTACGTGGTGGAGTTACCTGGTACAAAGGGTTACAGCCTTTGATGAATCATGCTAGAACAAAGGGTTCTAAGAGGGTTAAGCTTCACAGAGAATTGGCTGCATTACTGGAAGAGGAGCTGTATCGTACGGGAATTTCAATGGCATCATCTGGCGAGTTCTTTGGAATCTGGAAAGGATTGCGAGAAAACACTGATCGTCCTATAGTATGGCCCCCAGTGGTTATTATTATGAACACTCGATTGGAACAAGATAAGGATGGCAAGGTGGTGTTTTCTATTTCTTGCTCGAGCTAAAAAATATTTTGCTTTTCTATATCATTTTCTGTTGCATTGTATCTGGAAGTTTTTTGTTGTCCAATTGTAAGTCATGTTGTTTATTTACTGACTATGGTGTTGTATTAGGTCGCAATATTTATTTCTTCGAATGTTATTGAATTTTGAGTAAATTTCATAAACCCCACCTGTTATGGTCCAAGTTACACAAAACCATAGGGATTTTGACACGTGGCACATAACCCCGATGGTCATAAAGTTTCACAAAACCACACTATTAGCCATTTTGACATACTCCTATATCAAATATTTTAAAAGTGGATGTAACATTTATATGATGGATAGAATCCTCATAAATTTGAGATATGATTGTAAAACTCAAAAGTGTTGTAGATCAAAATCAAAATGATCAATAGTGTGGTTTTGTGAAACTTTAGGACCATAATTCCTGTGGTTATATGCCACATGCCAAAATCTCTATGGTTTTGTGCAACTTGTACCATAATAGGTGGGGTTTTATGAAATTTACTCTTGAATTTTAGTTATGGGTAATGCACATGGATTCTACTAAACCTAAATTGTACACATAACTTTATGGCTGTCCACTATTCTTTCTGTAATATCTGATCTAATCAGTTGTACTCAATGTGTAGCAAAATTAAAGAAATAAGACTGATTTGTTTTCATATGGTTCTATTGATTTTTTTTTATCTATTACTACGTATCATTAAATAAAATGTAAATGCATCCTTCAGGAGCAGTTAAGATGGCAAATGTGATGGTTTCCATTACTTAAATATCAGATAGCTGTCATATGCATTGCAATATCGATCCATGGACACGGTTTATCTCCATTACCAGTTTATTTTGTTTATCATTCTTATGTTAGTTATTATTTTATGTGCCAGCAAACATTTTTCTTTGTGTTGAAGGTTTAAAATATTTACAATATTCAAATAACATAAAACTGCAAGAAAACATATTGTAGTTATTCTTTATTATGTTTTGCTTGCATTCATACTCCACTGCAAAGAAACATAAATATGGCTACTAATTAGGATTGTCTAGGCATACTTGGCCCAACCAGTTGAAGGTCATTGTACAAAAACATCCATTTGATCTATCTTTTAAGCTGTATGAAGCTAAGATTTACTTCATTCTAATTTATATTTCTCCCTTGACTTGTTCCAGTGGAAAGGTATGGGAAACAAAGAGCTCCTTAGTTATTTCAGTAAATATCACGTGAAGGAAGCATGCCATGCTTATGGCCCAGATGGGCACAGTGGCATGAGTGCGCTAATATTTGAAGGATCTGCCGTGGCCTATAAGGAGGCAGAACGGTTGCATAATCACTTTGTTGATCAAAGAACAGACAAGTATGCGTGGTTGAATCATAGGATCGTCATACCTGGTGGGAAAAGGCAACTGTATGGTTTCTTAGCTGAAAAAGAAGACCTGGAGGCGTTCAATAGACATCATGGTATAATGTTTAACTTCTTTTCATATATAATGCTCTGAACTCTGTGCAATTGTATGTGTTTGTTGTCTTTTGTTATAAGCATTTAAAATGGAAACATGATCCATACATGTTCGCATGTTTGAAAGGTGAACATTATAAAATATCATTTTGGAACCTTTTATTGTACATGAGAGTTGGAGTATTGTCAGAACGAAATGCATCACCTGTATGACTGTGTATTCATCTAATTTCCTGGTTTTCCTGACAGATTAGCTTTGCTGTTGCATGTCAATTTCAACATAAATTCAGACTATTTTTTTTTAAATTTTGTATGATTTTCAGGAAAAGACTATTTGAAATACGAGATGAAATCTTATAACGAGATGGTGGTTACCCAATTGAAGCAGATGAGTGAAGACAACCAACAACTGAATTATGTGAAGAATGAGATGGTTAAGACAGAGCGACATTCTAAAGAAGTAGAAGAAGCCTTGGGTGTTGAGACCCAGAAACTTCAGGGAGCAATTGAAGATAATATTATTTTGAAGAGAAAAACCAAGGAGATGCTCTCAGAGTGCGTGGAACAGGTATTGATTGCTTAATAGTTACCCTGGTGTACATATTTTCTGCTACCACATGTATGATCTGCAACCAGAAGTAACATAACTATAAAAATCTGCTTGGACACTGCCTCCTAAAATCTTAATACAAAGATATGCATCGCTCTTACGTATTCCTGAAAAAAATCTGCTTGGACAGGCAGTCTTCTGCAATTAAAACGTTTGCCATAGAATCCCTTTTGCTTTGTCTCATGTTAACCTTGTTTTGATTTTGTCTCCTTTCCTCACCTTCTATGCAGATGGAGTTTAATGCGAAATTTTATCATGAACAAATTGAAAGACTTCGCAAGGACACCGAGGAGAAAGAGAATGAGTTTGAGAGGTTGCTGCAGGAGGAGCTAGCAAGAGCTATAGAGTGTGATGTTGACTCTGAAACTACAGAAAATTGCAAGCTAAGGTGTGACCAATACGTGGTTGGGACTTGGGAGCAGTTGAAAATTTGATAGTACTTCTGATTATTCTTCTATTGATCAAATATAGATATGGTGTCTCTGTGAATGGAAATGCTCCACTCCGATATATCACTAATCCAAAAATATTTTGTGCAGGGAGGAACAGATACAAAGAATCATAGATTGCCAGGTGAAGGATGCGGAGGAGTTTGATGCTGAACAAGATGAATTGATCAAAACACACGAAGAGAAGAAGGCGAACGTCAAGATGGAGTATATGGCAAAGGATGTTGAGCTCGAGGAGGAGCTTTATGCCGCTCTCACAAGTCTGATGGAGAAACACAAGCCGGACATCTTCCAACCGTCCAGCCCTTGAAGAGCTGCAGGCTTGCAGCTCACCATATATATGCCCTGCTCACAATAATCTCAAGAGGTCCCTCTCCCAAATGAACTTCAATTTACATGCCGATAAATTGCTTGAAATGCTCAGAAACTCTCCCGAGTGGCGTCTCTGGGCAATTGTGTTGCACCCCCAATTTGGTGTTTTGATCTGCAATTTTTATGCATCTGCAAAGGTCAATTTGATTGAGTTGACAAGAATACCTGTTGCTCAACTCAAAGATGATGTGCTATTCTTGTCAAACATATAACTCTACACGGTTTTGATTTCACTTGCAAGTTTGTGAAAATAAAAGTAAAACAGATGGTTTTACTTTGCAAGTAAAAGAATTTCGGAACTGCCAAGTCCGTCCCTAATATTTCTAGAGATTCAGAAACATCACATGTTTTTGGGTTACTGCAAGCATGGTTTGAAGTTTGGACTTCATTTTGGAATGAAAAATCTGTTCGATTGTCATGTATGGAAGCACATGCTACCGTGTCATGATCAGATGAAATAGGATGTCGTATGCCGTATGTGTATGGTGCAGCAGTGAATTGTCCATCTCAACTCTTTCGAACTTGTAAAATCACATCTGTTGAAAGAATTTAAAACGCACAAATTAATCGATCAATTCGACGACATCTACAATTCTGCACACCTAAAGATGACTTAACATGCATGTGAATTGTTTGAACTTCGAATTTCGGGCAAGAATTTGGGGTATCACAATTCACAACATGTCGCTATGCAATACCCAAATCTTGAACATTACACTACTAGAATATATAATATTAACAAGGACTAAATAACGAGGACAATAAATTCCTAGTCGTTAATCATATTTTGGAGCAGTTTCGGTAGAAAATTGGGACGTGATGTGTAACCGACGACCACAGCTTACCTCCCGTCGTTAGTTTTCGTTCTTTGTCATCGTTAATAGCAGTTTTGATTTGCCTATCACCGTTTTATAGTAAGTTGAATAAAATTTTATTCGTGTACTCCCGATCCGATAATCTCGCCCCCCATCTTCTTGTATTCCCCTCGCTCCTGCTGCCGCTCACCTCGGCCGCCGGCGTGATGCTACTGGCGCAACCATCGGATCCCTGCGCACGAGCTCCGGCCTGTCGCTCCCACCACCCGTGACCTCCATTGCTGCCAACGTTGGCCGTGCGCTCTCACCACCACCATCTCCAGATCCTTGCCGAAGTGCTCCCGCCACCACAACCCCAACGGCGGTGGTTCTTCCCCAAGTTCTCACCGGGCACACGAGGGAGGAAGGAGGCTTGATTTGGTGCCCCCACCCCCCTTTGGTAGAATCTCCTTCTCTTGGCACAAGAAGTTTCTATCAGTTATATGTCCTCCCCTTCTGCGCTAATCCAAACTGAGATCGTTCCCTGCTGGTTTCTCCTCCAAATCAGCAAAAATCAGGAGGTTGAGAGCTGATTAGTGATTGCTCGCTGGAGGTGCTGCCTGGGGGCTACATCGAGCAAAAGGGTCACAACAGGAAGGTAATACTATCAAATTTGCCAGGTAGTTCATACGTGCTGATTATTATTAAGGTTTATTTGCATGTCTAGTTGTCTACTGTGCTGCTTCTCCCTATCACACAATGTTTGATATGGTACGTTCCACCAAATTCTTGTGCTTGTGATAGCTCTGCCACTTTCATGAGTAATTGAGGATTACAAGCAATTAATTCTATTTTGTAGGTAAGCATACTTCAGTTGCTAGCTTTAATCAAGGAAGAAATTCATAACTGTGTATCAGTGTGCATGACTACAGGTAACCGGGTAACTGGGAATGAATTGATGCCATCAGTTAAGCAGGCTCAATGTTTGATGTGAAATTCAGGGACAGCTTCACTCTTCGTGGTCCTATAATCTTTATCAGGATTGGAATTTTGGAACTTAACTATAGGATTAATCATTGTGTTGGTAAATGTGTCGCCGTGTATTAAATTTCTCTTTCAGTTTTTAGATCAAGAATTCGCTCTTTGATCAACTGTTACTGAATTATAATACAATTGGGCATATGTGTAGGAACTTTGCAACGTTTATGTGTTGATAATTATGCTGCCCCCATTCATGACCTCATCCCTAGTCCCCCATGAAGACTCTACCAGGTGCTTTCTTAACTAAATAATGTAACATGATTAAGAGTTCTCCTCAACTGACTGCCTGGCATGATTTTATCAGAAACTAATGGATTTTTGTTATAAGCTATTGCACTGTTTATCTTCTGCAGGAACAAAATTCAGGATGATGCCTCCTGGTCCGAACAGTTTAGGGAAAACTCAATAGAGCCAGAGGATCTACACAAGCCTTCTATTCATTGTTTTAAATTGCCATCAGTTTCATCAAACATAATTCTATCTAATTTGTGCTCTGTATTGCTTGAGTTAATTAATGAATTATCATCCAAAGCATAACTTGTAGTGAACTTATTTGCTACAAAGTGTTATATTGTTCCATTTAGCTATTGAAGTTAAATTGTTCTTATTTATATATTGCAGTCGAATATTGTTTAAGAAATAAATACTAAGTTTGCAAAACTTATCAATTGATAATTCTAGACTGTAACTGTACTAAAGTATTTTGCTTCTCAGTATCCTTCTTTTTATATTTAGGTAACTGAACTAACATATATTAGGTTATCAGAACAACATCACTGGAGGTAAATTTTGCTCTCAAATAAGTTATATATTACATGCCAAATATAATGTATATTAACTAGTATAATCCTTGCCAGTGGTAGGATTTATGATGAAATGGATGAGGAAGGTGCAGTCGAAGACATATTGAAGGGTTGTTTCTCTATATAATGATTAGCGGTTCTATCCATAAGACCTCCAGATCGAAGAATATTTTTTTGTCATATGTAACATTGAAGCTCGGGTGTCCCAGTTAGATTAGGTATCACAATGTATCCCTGAATATTTTATTACAATCGATTCAAGAATGATATCATTATTCTTGTACTGATTGTTTTGAAATATTGCTATGTTGTGCAATAATATATGAGATTGTTAACTCCAAAATGTGCACTTGCAATTATTTCCAAGGGAGTAATGGATCTTATTGTGAATTAATAATGGTGTTAATGATGTATCCTGAAATTTCCTAATATTAGTAAATATGAACTTAGATGTGGTCGTCAATATATTAAGAACCATAACCAGTCCCAGTCATTAATACATTTACAAGCACAAAATGTTACGGTCGTTAATGTATTAACAACCGCACATAACCATGGTCGTTAATGTATTAACAATTGCACATAACCATGGTCGTTAATAAAGTAACGATGACATATTGTTCCTGTCGTTAATGAAATAACGATGGGAAAAATTACGTGGTCGTTAATACTATTAACGATGGAGCCTTCAATGACTAGAACTTTGTAGTCGTTAATGACCACATTTGGACCTTTAACGACCACATTTCCCATCGCTAATAATCGTTTCTCTAGTAGTGTTAATCGCCATTGATGCATGGGTAATTGCCCTACCAATCTCGCATTCATGATTTTCACATGTCTCAAACGTGAAGAGAACCTATCATGCATAAACTCTTACTGTCACTACATAAATATCAAATCAGGGTGTGTTTAGTTCCTGAAAAAAGTTGGAAGTTTGAAGAAAGTTGAGAGTTTGGAAAAAAAGTTAGAAGTTTGGCTGTATTTAGATCCAAAGTTTGGATCTAAACTTCAGTCTTTTTCCATCATATCAACCTGTCATACACACACAACTTTTCAGTCACATCATCACCAATTTCAACTAAAATCCAAACTTTGCGCTGAACTAAATACAACCTTTATGTGTGTGGGAAAGTTTTTGATGTGATATGATGTGATGGAAAGTTAGGAATAGGGGGAAAACTAAACACGGCTTCAGTGCCCTCACATTTCATGTGAATGGATCAAAGAGGGTACTAGCGAAGTACTATAATAAAATACTACCTCCGTCCCATTTTAAGTGCGGCCATGGTTTTTCGCGCCGAACTTTGGCCATCCGTCTTATTTGAAAAGTTTTTGAAAAAATTTAAAAACTTGAGCCACAAGTAAAGTACTATTCATGTTTTATTATCTCGTAATAACAAAAATACTAATTATAAAATTTTTTCAAACAGTTAAAATGAAACACAGGGAGTAGATCGATAAAATCAAATCACTTGCTTAGTCATGACAAATTGATTGCTCACGATTCAGCTTCTTTCATAAATAATGAAACCTTTGTACTTCGGCAACTTTTAAAGATTCTTCATAAAACAGCAGCAACACGAACCAGACTTCTCATGTCTTCATTCAATTCAACACCAACAACTAGACAAAGCTTAAAGGTCCCCTGACAAAGTGCCAACTCTAAGAGTCCCCATCCATCACTCACAGTGACATGTGGGCCCAGCTCCTCACGTTGACCGCAGTTGACTCGTTGACAGCCTCCCGGGCCCCACCAGACAGCGCGAGGTGCGCCTCCTCTTTAAAGCCTTCGTAAACGAGGAAGGCGAAAAGCGGGGGGGGGGGGGGGGGGGGGGGCAACGCAATGCACCACGGTGACCAAACTTACCTTAACTGAAACATGGGGCCCACCAGTGTGGACCCCACTCGTCAGCTACCCGGGGTAAGCGGGGTGGATCGGGTGAGGACCAAACGAGCATTCCGTGCGGCCACCCACCCGGTGCGGTTACCGGCGCCCCCCCCTCCATAAAAAACCAACCAAGGCCACAGGCGCGGGTCCGCTTCGGCTTCTCTCTCTCTCTCTCTCTCTCTCCTCGAAAACCCCAACACACACAACGCGAACCCCACTCCGCGATGGCGTCCGCCGGCGATCGCCGCGGCGGCGGGGGGCCTCCCGGCTCCGGCGACGACTCCGGTGAGGCCCCGCTCCCGTCCCTCTCCCTTGTCCCGGTGGTCGGATGGCCGATCCCCGCAATGTCGGCGGCGGATGCTGCTCGTTCGCGCGTAGGGTTTATGGGGGTGGTTGGGTTGGGTTGGGTTTCCCCGGGGATCGGTGCGTGGTTGGCGTGCGGGGTTTTTGTTTTCGTGGGGGTTTCGAGATGATGTGTGTTGCGGGGGGGTGGCCGCAGCGATGCGGGGGGATTTGGGTGCGCTGCGCGGGTGGATTGTTCGAGGTGATTGGTTCTTTCATTTTTTTTTTGGGTCGATTGGGGTGTGTACTGTGTAGGGGGTTTAGTGCCGTGGTGCTTTGTGTGGTTGCGGATTCGGTGGTCTCGTCCATGTGGTTGGTTCATCTGAAGGCGATGGGTTTTGGTTTGATTTGGTTAGTTTGATCCTTCTGTCTTTTTAGAGCTTCAGAGTTTGGTGTTGTTGGGTATTTTTGGGTTCCTTTCGGTGAGGATTTGTGTTCACTTTCTATTTGAAAAAAAGAGAGAGATATATACGTATTCACCTTATGGAGCATTCAGTTGTAATAGGTGGGTTTTTATTTGATTTTGCGGCTGGTTCATTGTGCTAAATTTGTGTTGTTGAAATAGGATGCCGTATGTGATTATTGTAAGATCATTGATTATTGAAATAGGATGTATGTGATTATTGTATGTTTTGAATGTTCGCCTAGCTTGCTAGATCGATAATTATGCCCACATGCTTATTGTAAGTTTGTAGCTATGTTAATTTTGCTTCCCTGCGCTCTTAGGTTTATGGTGTGACCTCCTTAATTTGTGATTGATCTATGCATGTGTGTGTTTAGGTCTTTACTACTGATAAAATTCAAAACTCTTAGAACTTTGCAAATACTACTTCATGCTGAATGATTGCTCTACTCAGTCTGGTCAGAATTAATTTACATTTTGTATAGAACTGTTGATATTTATCTCTATGAATATTTTGATTGGACATAACATTACGAAATATATAATGCAATCCTAAGGTAGTGTTTACAATTGCATTTGGAGACCTTTTGATATCTAGTACATATTTGTGACTGGAGAGAGTGTTCAGTGTTCTGTATTGGAACCTTTTATTGCTTTCATCATACATAAGAGCATTTCATAATTATTAATCACTGGCCTTCATCAGTTTTGGTGTGTGTCAAGGAGCTGCACTCGTGAATCTGTGCGTGCATGTGCATCTGCCTTATAATCACGTGAAAATAACATGTTATACTAATTTATGTAAATGCCTTGTATCCAGGGGGTGGTTGGGAGACTGTTGAGAAGAGGGTAAAGAAACCAGCGCAACAAGTTGGGAAGGGGCAATGGGGACAATGGAATTCTCCAAATGCTGCACCTGCACCTACTGCACCACGGAGTGGCTCTGGAGCTTTTCATCATTCTGGAAACACTTTGGTTCGACATTCTGATCGTAGGCCAGCAAGAGGCACTCCTAGGCCACCACCACAAAACAGGTCTATAGAGGCAGAACTGCAAGCACCGCACGGAGTTGTGACTGCACCTCTGGCAAATGGTTGGCAGTGGGGAGCCAGGTCTTGCCCACCTGGTACTGAAAGCAAGGAGGGTGGTCTTCCTTTGTCTGGTTGTGATCCTGAAACAGACAATGCTGAAGGTTATGACACATCGGACGATGATAATGATGATGATATGAGTGACGATTTGAGTGATGACTATGATTCTGATGCAAGTGAGAAAAGTTTTGAGACTCGGAAAAATCACAAGTTGTTCAAAGGTTTCTTCGAAGTCCTGGAGGCGTTAAGTGTAGAACAGTTAAATGAACCAACTAGGCAATGGCATTGCCCAGCATGCAAAAATGGACCTGGTGCAATTGACTGGTACAAAGGGCTACAACCTTTGATGACTCATGCCAAAACAAAGGGTTCTATAAAGGTCAAGCGTCACAGAGAATTGGCTAGTTTATTGGAAGAAGAGCTATCTCGCAGGGGAACTTCAGTGGTACCATCTGGCGAACAATTTAGGAAATGGAAAGGATTGCGGGAAAGCACTGATCGTGAGATTGTTTGGCCACCAATGGTGGTTGTTATGAACACTGTATTGGAACAAGATGAGGATGATAAGGTAACATTTTCATTTGATTGCTGTTGAGTTTCAGTATAGATCTGACCAGTTTTTCTGCCTGACTTATATCTTTATGAGCATAACTTTTACTCTTATCTTCTATTCATCATTCTGCAATTACAGGTCTTGTCTGCCACATTAAATTTGTAGTAAATATACATATTTTTGGCTATTTTCTTGCTTATTTTTTTGTATCTCGTAAGAACATTGAGTTGATTCTACTGATTTGTTTACCTATTAGTATCAAAAGCAATGCACATTCCTCAGGAGCAGTTACTATATGTTGACTTTTGTTACTCAAATATTATATATTTTTTCTTATGCACTTTGATATAAATTGATTAGCAAGATTTATCCTCTTCATCACACATTTTGGTTGAATTTATTATGTTTTGTTCCAGCAGATATTTGTTTTCTCAAGTGTTAAAACTTAAAAAAAAAAGACTTCAAAATTCACTCTCTGTTGTGATTTTCTTGCATTTATACTTCATTGTGAAAGAATAAAAATATGCTGAGCAGTCAGGGTTATCTAGGCGTTGTTCATTAAAATGTATTTCTTATTTTCTTTATTATTGTGAAAGAATATCTGCTTGATCTATTAAATGTGTCTGCTTTTATGTTTTTATTGCATTCTAATATCTCCTCTTTGTCTCAATCTAGTGGAAAGGTATGGGGAACCAAGAGCTAATTGATTATTTCAGTGAATATGCTGCAAGCAAAGCACGCCATGCCTATGGTCCAAATGGGCACCGTGGCATGAGTGTGCTAATCTTTGACAGCTCGGCTGTGGGCTATATGGAAGCAGAACGTTTGCATGATCACTTTGTTCGTCAAAGAACAGACAGGAATACATGGAACAGTGCTCACAAGGTTACATTCTTACCTGGTGGGAAAAGGCAGCTGTATGGTTTCTTAGCTACAAAAGATGACATGGAGACATTCAATAGACATTGCCACGGTAAGCCATTTAACTATGGTCCAATACCTGTACATTAAATTAATTAACGCTGTGTTTTTGGTGCAATTGTCATTCATCTGATAAATAACTGGCTTTCATTACTTTTATCTCCTGAATTCTTTCTGACGCCGATTATTATTGGTCACCTCTATGAAGTGCTCATGCCAAATACTAGCTTGCATTTTTATGATATGCTGCATATTCCTGTTCTTCATCTTCATTGGAATGTGATCACAATTGATATTATTTACCGCAATATGTTTCTACTAATGCTTCACAACAATTCATACCTTCATTTCATTTTTATTACGTAGCATGTTATTATAGTGTACTCAATGCTCATCAGCTGGGTAGCTTTCTGGTAGTTTATCTCTACTACTTGAAAGCATGAATGTCTAATCTCATTCCATTCAAAATGATATTTCCCTTCTGATTGTAAGAAGAAAAATTCTATACTCAAGGACAATATGCAAGGGTAACTTACCTCTTCGGGGACAGCAAAGGATTAGATCTGTGCTTCTATATTAATAAACCTTCAGTTATCTATTTTCTCCTAGAACATGGAATCCTATGATTTATGCTAGGTATAGATTCATCATCATTGGGTTCAGCAAGAGTAATGTAGCCCATTAATAAAAAAGAACTGTTAATGCAAAAATTTAAATGATGCTGATGGACCCTAATATTTTATTACCTTTGTGCAATACGGATAGGAGGCATGTGCTTGTCTTTTGTCTTGTATCCTTTACCTAGTTTCGTTTTGTTGTTTTTTTCTAAATAAAATACACCATTTTTAAAGTAAGAAAGATACTCTAGTTTGCAGATTTCTTTCTTTTATAAGAACAATTAATTCCTGAGCATTGCATTTGGGTTACATTCAACCCTCTACACTTCGATAGTTTTATTTCTTCATACGCATTACAACCTGTCAATCTGTCATTCATCATAGCCTCTCTGCATGTCAGTTTGACTTCATATTTGCTATCCTGTTGATAGTAAAATAGAAGGGGAAGTGGTGCCTGCCTGTTTGTAATAAACAGGTCCTGGCCTCCCAAGTATTTTCACAACAAATGCACCACCCATGTGACTGTTTATGTATCAATTGAACATGGCCATCAGTAATCTTGATTTTCTTAGCTTGGCTATCTTATGATTGTTTTATTGTAACATTAATGCAAACCCCTCTTTTATACCTATTGCAAATTTTCAGGAAAATCCCGTTTGAAATATGAGATGAGATCTTATAATGAGATGGTGGTTACCCAAATGAAGCAGATGAGCGAAGACAACCAGCAACTGAATTACCTGAAGAACAAAATGGTTAAGAAAGAGCAGCACTCTAAATTAGTAGAGGATACATTGAGTGTTGTTACCCAGAAACTTAGGGAGACAATGGAAGAGAATACTATTGTACGAAATAAAGCCAAAGAAAAGCACTTGGAGTATGAGAAAGAGGTAACAATTGCTTAATTGGTTACCCTAATGAATATATTTTTTGGTAACATTTGTATGAGCAGCAACCAGAACTGTCATATACTTAGTTTACATATCAGAAATATTCCGAGAGAACAGATTTCTGCATTTGAAACTTGCCAATTTGCCATTGTCTTGTACCCTTGTTTTGATTTTTGTTCCCTTTTCACCTTGTGGTTTTATACTTCGCAGATGAAGTACCAGGAGGAATTTTTCCATGATCAAATCGAAAAAATTCACAAGGCCACAGAGGAGAAAGAAATCAAGTTTGAGAAGTTGCTGCAAGAGGAGCGAGCAAAGGCTAGACAAAGTGATGTTGACTCTGGAAGTACTGAAGATCGCAGGCAAAGGTGAACAACTAGTTTAATGTTTTTTTGTGTGATGTCAGTTAAAATTACGATCCTTAGATCACTCTTCTAGGAGCAACAAATTTGAAATTTCCATTTGGAATGGAAATGCTCCGCATCAATATATAACCTAGTCGACATTGTTTCATTGTGCAGGAAGGAAAAGATTCAGAACTTCATAGACTGCCAGGTGAAGGATGTTGAGGAATTTGAAGCCGAACGAGACAAACTGATCAAATTGCATGAAGAGAAGAAGGTGAAGCTCAAGAAGGAGTACCTGGCGAAGGAATTTGAGCTTGAGAAGGAGCTGGACACAGCCCTCACTTCCCTGATGGATAAACACAAGCCGGACATCTTCAAATCCTCCACCTCGCCTTCGACATGAAGAACTGCGGCTTACCATACATTTCCTGCTCATCTACAATAGCTAAGACTCCCATTTCCTAAGTACCCGTAAAACTTCTAGCGATGCGAAAGCATCATTCTGTTTGGGTGGATGCATGCCTTTGGAAGGAAACCTGAACCAGTTCCGTATTATATGGAGTACTATCAGTTTATGGTTGCTGATGAACTGATGACTGTGCGCTGCGCTTTTACAGCAAGCGTGGAAATCGAATATATATCTAGTTTATCTCATCATTCTGCTCTGCGTTGCATCAACTGCTGATTGAGTGCTTACGGTTTCCTATTAGCAACATATACTATCTTATTGTGTTAACCCTTTCATGTTGTCTTTGGCATGCAGAACGCATTTTAGCCTACAAATACAATACTAGTATTGTAGTATGACATGCAAGCTTTACTTTGCACATGTTCGACAACGAAATGCAAAGGAAGATTTGTTTCTTTTGCACGTTGTTGACAGTGCAAATTGCCCAAAATGTGGCCGAGTTACATCGCAAGAATGATGCCTAGTACCGTAGCGCACTATCCACTATGTCAATTCGTCATCATTACAACTGGTTTCCAAGATGTTGAAATTTTGGCTGTGCGGAACATATGTTTTTTACACTAAATACTTCAATCCTGTCGGAATAAGATAAAACGTTTAATTCCAAACATCACATTGTTATTGTTTTCCCCAAAGATATAACTCGATAGATGAAATCTCTCCAAACCCATTCAAAGAGAGAATGGATTATCTTCTTATGATGAGACAGTAAGAGCTAATGGGTCATCCGCTCCACATAAATTCTGAAGTAAACGTTATCTGACGTCAAAACTGAACTTCATTACAGTCTTAAAAACTACTCCCTCTAAAAAAAAAAAAAAGACAAACCCTGATTTCCCCAACTTTTGACCATTCGTTTTATTTGAAAAAATTATAAAAAAGATAAGTCACGCATAAAATATTAATCATGATTTATCATCTAACAACAATGAAAATACTAATTATAAAAAAATTTCATATAAGACGGACAGTCAAACGTTGGCACGGAAATCCAGGGTTTGTCTTTTTTTGGGACGGAGGGAATAGCAGCCTAGTTTGCATCAGGCATAAGCCCATCTTTGCTAGAAAAATGCTGCATTTATACATCAGACATACAATAATTCTGTACAAGTTGGAATCCTAGATTTTGAAGGACGCCCAAACTTTCACCAAGTAGCCCAAAATCTTGATGTCGCTGAACATCTGCATCATGCTATGGTTTGTGTTCTTTGTCCTACTCGTTTACTCATCTGAGTAAGTGTCAAACTCAAACTGTTGCTCACCTTTATCAGTTGATGCTGTCCTTCTCCTGAGAAAGAACTGGAACAGTGTAACCGCAGCTACCAGGGCTATCTCAGAATGGTCTGAAGTGCTAGTCTTGACGCAGAAGCGGCCTAGGTTCCTGCTGTTTAGGTTAGCGCTGACTGAGACTTTCGATCCGCGGCCCATTCGGAAGTCTGACTGAAGATTGGTGCTGATTACAGTCTCCTTCTCGAACGACAGAGCGGTGGCTGCGACTGTGATGCTCTCTTCCCTCACAGGGTAATCTTTCCCCCTGAATGTCATTTCCAGGCCACCTCCATGTGCCACTTGCCCGCAGCCAACCATCCTCCCAGCATTGCCGACCAACTGAACTCGTCGCCCGACAGTGATGGAATCCTCTAATTTGGCACCAGTAAAATACTTGCTACCGAATTTAGTAATGGAAATGCCTCCTCCAGTAGTGTTCCAGGGCAAATTGTGGAACCTGGCATCCCCATTGACAGTACAGACCAGATCCTTATTTGCTGTTTGCATATTCATGCTCCCTATCAAGGAGCGGCCATTCTTACCGCTGTAGCTTACTGAACATTCTGATTGGATATACAGGTCTTCTTTGTCCTTTCTCATCTGCCCCGCAATTGATGCAGTGGTATTCTTTTCTAAATCTTGAGATACTTCAAAATTGATCCCATCAAATCCAATATCATGGTCCCATCCTTGTGGATCTAAAACTGGTCTGAACACCATATCATCAGTAATAAGGTAACGGTAGCGATGGACTGGATAATCAGAGTCAAAACTTGACGGAATTTCCATATCTGACATGTGCACAACCTCTGGGGACACGCTTTCTTCGTAATCATCACCAACAGCATTTGATGCATCAACATTTTGAGCTTCAACAAGCTTTTGCCTCCTAATTCCCTCCTTCCACTGTTTCTTTAGGTACAGAGTTTCACGATAGTCTAGTTCATCAAGATATGCAGATCTCTGTTCTTTTGACAATTTTTCATATTCAGATTTCTTCAGAACACGGAATGGCGGTAGCTGATCAGATTCATCCTCATCATCTGACACTTCGGTCATGTCAATGCCAACATCTTCTGATCTTGATGATGGATTAGGTTTAAGGAGTGATGAAAGAAGATGAGGCAGTGAAGGCAGTCTGGTATTTGCTTGTGACAGAAGGAAGCTATCTTGGAACTTAAGCAAGGAATTTGCTTCTGCCAACAACTTGGTCGCCCCACATAGCAGTAAAAGTTCTGATACCCATACCTTCCCATTAGGTAAAACTCTTTCACCTTTGGTGTTCCGTCGGCACATTGGATGATTGTCAACAAGAACTACAGGGTTCTCCATCTGTGTGTTAGAAGCAGCCACCTGGATATGACGCTGCACCACATTCTTGCAATAACGGGCATAGGAGTCATATTCCAGAGGATAACCATCTGGTCCTTCAGGAGGAGATGAAGAGCAGTGAGTCATCACAAGGACAGTGTTGAACCACATCGAAGAACCCAAGATATCAGTTATGAGCTTCAACAGCGGGTATTCACAGTATCTACTGTTAATATGGTCGAGTCGCTCGAAGTACAAGACGATGTCAGGTGGTGATCTTTTAATGAAGCGCTTGACAGCATGTAAAATCTTCCTGTTCTTCCTCTGTCTATGGTAATGAGGCAACAAACCAGGTGTGTCGATAACTGTAACTCTTATTCCTTTGATTGTTCCATCAATCCTCCTTATCCTTTCAGTAGCAGGAGCTAATGCATTGGTAGCAACCTTTGGTTCATCAAAAATGGAGTTTATCGTGGCACTCTTTCCCACACCAGTCTTTCCAAGTAGAAGAATTCGCAAGGGCAGGTCCAAATCAGGTCCACCTGGTGCTTCTTGCTCTGCTGCTATAACTCTGGCTTTGTTGATAGCAAGGTTGGTTCTCTTGGAATCTGATTCGCCAGCTTTAATCAAGTTGGCAAGGTGCAATCTGTACAGTACCTGTGCGACAACATCAGTAGTGGGAGGCACTCCAGTTCTGTGCACAAGCCGCAGGAACTTAATTTGAAGAGCCTCAACATGCTTTAGTGGATCTGACTTTGTGCTATCATGATCTGGTTCATAAGATGGACTGGATGTGACCTCTGAATCTGATGCGCGGATATCATTAGATGGAAATCTATTGGCAGACACAGTTTCTACAATCTCATTTTGCATCACGCCTGAATCACAAGATGGAATAAGGGGGCATTCATTATAGTATTAACATGAGCATAAATCAATAACAAATGTGTCCTAAAGACCATTCTATTGGTAACATGAATGACCAACAAGTAACAGAATGTCCTCCCAGCAAAGCAAATGCATCCACACCAATTTGGCAGTACCACAGCATATAAATTTTCATCAAGAGCATCTATTGGTACTGGGTAAACTAATGAATCATGACACAAGGCCGTGCTCCACCGACGATGGAAAAAAGATTCAATCCTACTGAATTCGAAGACATAAGATTTCCTATTTCCTAATCACAATAGGGCAACAGTTCCTGGTAGCACACTAATCGACCACCAAACATTATACATGCCCAGAAGAACTAGTATTAGCGAAAACTATCACATATATCATGCAAAGGCTTGTAATGAGCCCCTGCACCATTTAGTGAAGTCCAAAATTTTATCAATCAGATTTCAGACTTCAGAGGCAATACTGTACTCGAGCAACATCAGAAACATCCAACAATTATCATGCAGCGGCAGACTCGAAAACACATGGCACAGCATGTTATCCCTTTCAGAACAAGAAAGAACCTAAATAGAATCTGAACCATGGAACCTGAGCTGCAAATTCTAATCAATCACCATACCAAACTACTACTATCACTAATCATCATCATCATCATCAAGTAAGTAAGACAGAGAGAGTGCCTACCATCCCCATCGCCCCCGGGCTGGGCGGCGGCGCCGTCGTGGTGGGCGGAGAGCGAGAAGGGCCTCGCCGACAGCACCGACGAGCCGAGCCGGTACGAGATCCAGTCCCTGAAGCTCATCATCACCAATCAGGAATTTCCACCCACCCCGGCTGCATAACCAGTACCAAAATCCTCATCACCTCGAACCAACCCAAACAAACAAAACAGAAAATAATAATTAAAAAAAACCCCAATCCCCCCCCCCCCCTCCTCGAATTGAAGGATTCGATACGGGAACCCTCACGCTACCTGGCCTGGTGGGAGGCTCGGAGCCCGCGGCGGCGGCGGCGGCGGCGAGGGGGATGCGGATGATGGTGTCGGAGGGAGTTGGTTGGATTTGGGTGGATGAGAGGAGAGAGTGGGTGCGTCGGTCCAACCCAGCCGGAAACGGACAGGGTCGTCCGCGGCGGCGAGCGCCCGGATTTGTCACGTCTGCGAGTGCGAGGCCGACCGGGAGATGGGGGGGTCGCTGACAGGTGGGCCCCAGCGATCGGTGCGAGGGTGGTTATTCCAGGAGTGCAGCTGTGCAGGTAATCATAGAGCAGGTCCAATAAGCATTTTTTTTGCCGGTGATAATACGGCCACGTTGGATTCTTTCATGACCTAGAACATGGAACAGAGATTAGAGGAGAGAGAGTGTGAGCCCGCGACTAATTAGTCGCCGGTTTCACACGTGCTCCAAGGCGAGCCAAATTGAAGTAGCGCTGCTGCTTGTCCCCCACAATACTGCTGGACTCATAAAAATGAGGCAGAGCGTAGGTAAGGCAGGATGTCGTTGAGGCTTCAAGCTCGTCGGCAAGCGACTGTGGCTAGGAAGGAAGCTTGGCGAGCGACACGATGATGACTAGAGTGGCAAGCTTGGGGACATTTCAACGATATGAACTGAAGCGGCTGGTGAGCTCAGGGACATTGATCGCCCCAAACGATGACTGAATCTGGCTTGGTGTAGATGGCAAGAGAACCTCGAAGAGGTTGAGCAGCTTGTTCTTGTGCGGAGTTAAGACGAGGTCGGGAGGAGGAGGATTCCGGGATTGGGGTCGTCAGTCGTCACCACTCCGGAAGAGGAGGTAGTGGCCGCAATACCAGATATCTTGACCCCCCTCTCCAATTATTAAAACCGGTGTAATTTAACTCCCTTAGTGGTTTTGGAGGATGGTTTTGCTGATGTGGCGCCTACGTGGCGGTGTTGACCTAGTCTTCGTTCGACATGGAGTTGACATGCGCTTATTTGGCGTTAGAAATAAAAACATATGAATTGGACCCATTTATCATTAACACAAAAACACTGTGGGACCCACATGTTATCCTCTCTCCTCCCCTTCTTCCTCCTCCGTCCCTCCCTCTTATCTCTCTTTCTCTTTCTCTCCTCTTTCTCTTCCCCTTCGGCCGGCGGCGGGTGGCGACAACTGGAGCGGTGGTGGTGGGCTTTAGTGACGACGGCGGGCGGGAGCAATGTTGGGGGGCTGGAGCGACGTCGGCGAGTGGGAGCTGCTATTGACCTCAACGTGTTGCTTCGTCTTGGCTCGTCCGCGTCCGTTATTGCACGAATGGACAATAGCGCCCCAAGAAGCTCGTATTGCAGTGTTGCTTCATCTCGTGTAAAGCCGAGACGAAGCAACACTGCAACAGGAGCTTCTTGGGGTGCTATTATCCATTCCTGCAATAGCGGATGCCGACGAGCTGAGACGAAGCAACAACACGTTAAGGTCAGCAGCATCTCCCGCCCGTTGCCATCTCTTCCGCCCCCAACTGTCGCTCCCATCCCCCCCCACCGTCGCTCCCAGCCACCACGGTCGCTCCCACCCCCCACCGCTGCTCTAGTTGTCGCCACTGGCCTAAGGGGAAGAGAAAGGAGAGAGAAAGAGAAAGAGAGATAAGGGGAAGAGGGAGAGAGAGAGGAGGAAGAAGGAGAGGAGAGATGATGACATGTTGGACCCACATGTTAGTGGGTCCCACGATGTTTTTGTGTGAATAATAAATGAGTCCCACACATATTTTTTTAATTCTAACGTCAAATAAGCGCCACGTCAACGCCATATCGACAAAGACCATATCAACACCTCCACGTAGGTGCCACATCAGCAAAACCGTCCTCCAAAACCGTTAAGGGAGTCAAATTATACCGGTTCTAATAATTGGGGGTCGAGATATCTAGTACCGTGGTTCAAGGAAACGAATCATATTCGCCAACCACTTAAGGGAGCCAAAGTGAACTTATTCCTACAAGAAAGTAACAAACAGCACACATCATAGAAGCTCATGGAAGATATATGGGCCACAAGCCCAAACATTCTGAAAATAGGCCCAAGTACCCAACAACAGAAACCTGAACCAGAATTTATCTTTGTTTTTTTTCCCTGGACAAGTCTACCAGACAGCCCAATGTTATTATTCCCGGTTAGAGTTAACATGAGGAGAAAGGGTAGATAAATTTACAAGAGAATCCGCGAATTTCATAGGAGTATAAAGCAAGATATTTTCATAAATTGAAATATTATCAGTCCACAGACCAGTCCACACGAGCATGCAATGCAAGTAAAATAACAAACATGATGTTGGATATATTAGTCTTCTCTTTCACAATGGTGGTTCTTGTATAATGGTTTTGAGGATCCTTCTTTGTGAAGCTTGAAACAGGACTTCATCAATTTGCATCTATTCATCCTTGTGCTTCTAATCATCTTCGTCTGATCCAGGTTCTTCAAAATAATACAAAATATCACTACCCATTTTTTAATATACGGCGCAGTTAACTTTTTTCCTGAAACTTTGACTAACAATGTTTATTCAATTACTTAGTTAAGTGAAGTGAAACAAGTACAACTAAATCTGCCATCAAAATCACTTTAAGCATGTCTTGTATGTTTGTATATTTGCACAAATATTTCTAAAAAAGATGAATAGTCAGCCGAATTACAAAAGTCAATTACATTATATATTTAAAAAAACAGCCTTCTTCGGAAGCATCAGAAAGATAGCAGCATCTTTATTCAGTTATTCTTACTCCAACTAATGAATCTTTGAAATTCTGACATTTAATTTGCATTATCATAGCCTTCTTCGGAAGCACAGAAAGATCCAACGTCAGCTTTCTTGGTAGTGGTAGCTGAAATAAACATCAAACTGTGCACCTATGACATTTATATAATGTTCCAAGAGCAAAACAAATTATAGATACGATAGATACCTCTCTGATGGCATCAGTCATGATGGTTCTTCCAATACCTTTACCGTGTGACTACCACGTCTAAGAAAAACCACTTAACCAGTATACAATTCAAAAATCTTCAACAAAGCATGTTAGCAGAAATAGTTTCACATGGAAGCATTTAGTTCCCATTCTTTTTTCTAGTCATTTAGCATTTATTTCAACTCATGGTGATGACAGAAATAGCTGCATCACAGCACATGTCATAATAGAAAAAAAGGGAAAAAAAATGAAAAGATATGTTTCCTCATTGTTTTGGTAAACGAATTGAAATAGGTCATCGTAAGTGCTGAATAACCTTCAAAAAATACTACTAGTAATCAGTAAGATGTCACATTATCATATTTTTCAAGTGCTTTTTAGTGTCTTTATCCCTCTTCATGCCATTTGTAGTTATGATTTTAATTGTAACTAACATTATGTAAATTCTTATTTTAGATTCATGTGGCAACCATAGAAATGACAACTGCAATCTGCATTCTTAGATTTCTACTGTTGGTACAATTTGCCACTGGATTATCTACAGATTTATAGAGTTTGAACTGTGAAGGCAAAAACTATAAATCAAACAACATATACAGAGAGAACATTGACTTTTTATTGAGAACATTACCTCTGAAAGTATCAGCTAGTGATACTCTGTTTGCCAAGGTCATCACCAACTCAACTAAAGAGCAGGTGTATACACAGTGTCGTGGCGACACTGATATTAGTACCTGTAAGAGGTGTATCACCAAGGCCATTAAGGACATACAACAAGTATATTCTTCAAAGAGGGATAGTATAGCATTTTACAACTTTTGCCACCTCGGAATTTCTGGAAAAGATTTTAAGTTTGATATTCAACATGACATGGAAAATATAGCTTTATAGGACAACCCTGGTTATATCAGTCAGGGCAGGTCGTTTAGTGAGACAGTCATGTTATTTGTTGATGATGTGGCAAGAAAGATAACAGACCTATCAAAAAGATTTGCTACAGGACGAGAGAAGGTCCTAGGGAATGAATATAACTACACCATATTCGGCCTCGCACAGTGCTCACCTGAGTTAAACAGTTTAGAGTGCAAGATTTGTTTGGAGATCTAGCCTCTAGTTCGCATTTTAGTATGTCAACAGGTGGGACAAGAGCAACAATATGGTGTAACTTGCGTTATGAGGGATATCCTTTCTTCACGGGCCCTCCAATGTTGGACCAACTCATCTATCAAGCTACAGTCAAGCCTAAAGGTATGAGATGCAAAATTTATTTATGTTTGAAAGTTTATTTATGCATGATACTCTATTGCTATACATTGATTGAAATATTTTTAGTTTACATTCGTTCAAAAGGTACTAGGGGCCCTACAATTTTGCTTTCATTTTTGGTACCGAACTCACTATGTGTTATATTAGACTCATTCCGTGTTTAAAAGTATGTTTATACATGCTGATCTATTGCCATACACTGATTAAACTATTGTTAGTTTATATTGGTTTGACACTATCTACTAGGGGCCTTGGTAGTATACCAAACTCACCGTGCTTTATATTTACATTCTTGTTTGTAAATAGATGTGTTATTTTCATTCTTGCTAATGAAATTGTAATACCCATTAAATTAACAATTGACAATCACATGCAGGAACAAATCATAAGAACCATACAACTATTCTAATAGTGGCTATAGTGGTGCCGAGCGTTGTGGTAATCATAGTAGTCCTAGCACCACTATTTCTTTTGAGGAAGAAACATGTACTGAAGAAACGAACAAAGCTCTCGAGTAAGCACTTCTAAAAGAATGACCAATGATATGTACTATATATACTTCAATCCCAAATAGAACTTATGAGCATTGTTTCACATATAGGTGTAGAACTATCTGGGAGCAAAAATATTGAAGGCTTTGTTGATTCTAGAGGTGAAAAAGATGCAGAACTAACTGAGAGCAAGGAAATTGAAGGCTTTGGTGATTCTGGAGATGAAAATGATGCAGAACTAACTAGGAGCAAACAGATTGGAGACTTTGGTGATTCTGGAGGTGAAAAAGACGCAGATCCAACTAGGAGTAAAGAGAGAAGGTCCTAGGGAGTAAATATAACTACACCATATTCGGCCTCGCACAGTTCTCGCCTGAGTTAAACAGTTCAGAGTGCAAGATTTTCTAAGGCTGATCTTGTACCCGCTCAATGTAACTAGAAGGCTAAGGCACCCTATTCTACTAGGGGTAAAATTGACGGGGGGCCAAGGCCCCCCAGACCCACTCAGTGTAAAATTGATGTTTAGTGACTCATACTAAAAGAACATCTTGCATTTAATCTAAAACATTATAATGATCTTCATAGAGAGAGAAAAAAGATATTGCAAGATATAAAAATATCAGTGTCATCACAACACTGCCCAACTGCATACACCTGCTCTTGGGTTGAGTTGGTCATTGAACTTGGCAAAAAAAGTATCACTAGCTGAGACTTCCAGTGGTAGTGTCCTCAATAAGAAGTCAATGTTTTCTCTGTATATGTTGTTTGTTATGTATTTTTTTTTGCCTAAGAAGGTCAAACCTCATAAATCTATAGATAATCCTATGGCAAATCCTACCAACAGTAGAAATCTAGGAATGTAGATTGCAATTGTCATTGCTACAAGCAGTTGCCACATGAATCTAAAGCAAAAAATTTGGATAATGTTAGTTATAATTAAAACCATGAAAACTACAAATCACAAGAAGAGGGAGACATACATTAAAAACACTTGAAAAATGTGATAAACTCTTTCTAGATTTTTGTGAGAATAAGTTCACTATTTTGTCTTATCATGAAATATTCCCATCTTATTTCTAAATTTTAGAGTTGAGGATGTAAAGATGATGCTTATAACTGTTTTGGGGCACAAGATGTAGTGGTTAGGATGCATTGCCAAAGTTATCAAAACATTAGTATACAAATAAAATATAGGACTTGTTTTCTCAGATGACTGGAAACAATAACAATATACACATAGAAAAACGAATGCAAATACTTCTTAGTCATAAATGAAATATTTCTCAACAGGTGGTGGAGTAAGGGAAATAATGTGTTCATTTATTGTTTTATAGAATGCTAATGGTAAAGGATTACAACTGGCCATGTTTATGTAGAAAAAAAATATTTCACCCTAATATGATTGGTTTCTTGGAACATTGTTAATAAATTTTGCTAGCAATTTGCAATATTTTTTTTCTCCCAGTGAAGATCATTCTAATGCTTTGGATTAAACCCAAGATGTTATTCTAGTTAGCTAGGAGAAACAAGTATTTTACTTCTTGGTTCTGGATATCACTGAAGTAGTACTTAGAATCCAAAATAAGCTAAATACAGTTATTGTAGCACCTGTTCTTTGAGAGATATTGGTGCTAGTAGATTTTAACAGCAGGTGGAAAATTTACAAGCTCTGATATGGAGGCAATCAGATAACAAAAGGTAGTAGATATGCAAGTAGAGAATCCTATTGGCGAGTGTTATTAATGCAAATCCTATGATAAGCCTGTACTTATTCTTAGGTTTATAGATGTTTCTACTACAAAAGGTATTATTGTTGTTAAAACTGAACTACAAGCTTGAATGGCAAATATATATTTAAAATGTTAGACTCCTTATTCATATTGTGTGATAATGTATATGTTAGGAGGACTCAAAGCCAGGACAGAGCCGCAGAGGCTCCTGAGCTCATGATGCTTAATTTTCGGACAACTAATATCTCAAAAAAAAAATTCCTGTGAGAAGCTGACATCTCAATTGATGTTCTTTCTACTGTGAATACAAGTTAATAGTTTCATGATTTAAAAATGAGCATATATATGGTTGAGGAAAGAAAAAACTAACTACATTTAGCAAGGTATGTGGTTCACACTTTATAGATGAATACTTTTTATTGCGTGATGGGAAATAAGTACTCATGCTTTATACCTTATTCAGAACCGAGAGAAATCAAGCCTGAATGCCACTGACTTGGTTTGTTACCAAATCTAGAAGAACAACTTTGATTAAAGACCAGGTTGGCGTAATCTCAGGTGAACTGACCATGGAGGGCTGAAAGCAGTGATCAATAGTTTAAACACATTTTCTGCAATGGTAAAGCAAACATTAAGAGGAAGAATGCTGAAAGGGAAGGAAGACAGTGATAACTTGAAAGGCACTATCTCCAACTGGTCCAGTTCCTTATATTAATTCATACTACTCCAGGTTATGGACTGAATCTGAATCTTCCAAGGAAAAATCATCAATGGAGACATAGTATTACTGCATTTCTTCTTGGACTTGGCCAGGAGCATTCTTTTCAGCATGTTCTTCTTGGACTTGGCCAGGAGCATTCTTTTCAGCATGTTGTTCCCCTAAATTCTGAAGAAGTACGTTATTCTCATGCTGCATATTATTCTTTTCAGCATGTTGTTCCCCTAAATTCAAGAAGTACATTATTCTCATGCTGCATATTTGGTATCTCCATATGCAAATCCTCAATTTGCTACCACAAAATGGGTAAATCCTCATCCATAGGAAGAACATCAGTGAACTCCCAATTAAGCACAGAAGTGTGCAGAGTCCATGACTCTCCATTACCTCCCATATTAACAGGATTTTCCATAACAATTCTTCTAGGCACTTCACTAGGGTCTGTATAAAGACATTTTGCCAGAACTCTGCCAAGAATACTATCTCTTTGATGCCAATGGATTAACTTCCCAGAACTCTGCCAAGAACACTATTTTGTGATGCCAATGTATAAACTTCCCAAAAGCGTTTACAATCCTATGAATGTGAGTCTCATTTATGTAATCCGAAGGAATCCCTAAAATCATTATCCAACTCTCCTGATTGAAGGGACAGTTTCTCCGATAGGCTAAATTATCAGGTCTTATAAAGTGTGCTTGGAAAGCCCCTTTATTTAGCATCAAATGCTGGCCGGCTATCAAAGTATCCCTGTGCAATTCAGAAGGAACTTAGATCAGACATAAAAAGTGGAAACCTGAGGGCGCAGAGGACATGCATGTTGAACTGATTGTTGATGGCGTGCACCACTTGATGGATCAGTTGCAACATTTTATATATGTAACAAGATCCACCTCAACCGTAATTCTGAATAGACTTAATGTTTGTTATACAATGTATAATTTCCAACTAAACAATTTAAATACCATTATTGTGAGTAACTAAACATCAATTTTACACCAGGTGGGACTAGGGCCCCAGTCAATTTTATACCGAGCGGGATAGGGGGTCTTAGCGCCCAGTTACATCGAGCGGGTACAAGATCATAGAATATTCAAGTTGCTACTGATGTAGTCTATGTCCTATTAAAGAAAGTTATACTCTCTAATAGAATTTTTTTGTGTATCTTAACTTTGGTCTTGAGAGTAGTATAATATGTCGATAGTTTACAGGGATAAGTAAAAAATATAGCTGTTTTCTCCCACCTATCGACCCACTCAAACTTGGTATAGAGGCTAGATCTTGAAAACAAATATGAAAAAAACGGTTCAACTTAGATGAGCATTGGGCCAAACCATAATTATAGCTATATTTTGTTAGCTTCTCTTCTTGTGTGGCAAATCTTCAAGATAACTTTGTTACTTTCTTTGACACATTAGTAGCGATAAGTGTTTCTTTGACACATTAGTAGCGATAAGTGACATAACATTCTTGTTTAGTAACCAGTTATAAATGTCATAAAACTAGTTCACAAGTATAGATAATATGTTCATTGCATGTAGGATACTAAATTGAATATTTTCACTAAAAATTGCAATTCTAAGACTACAAAAGTTGTAATAAAAAAATTCAAATACTTCTCAGATGACTGGAAACAATATTAGACAATAACAATATAAGACTGGATACAAATATAATATAAGACATGTTTCCTCGACTGGATACACTAACAATACACAAATACAAATACAAATACAAATGTAAATAGTTTTTCGTCATAAATAAAATATTTTTCAACAGACAGTGAAGTGAGGGAAATAATGTATTCATTTGTTGTTTCATAGAATGCTAATGGTAAAGGATTACAACTGACCATGTTTATGTAGAAAAAATATCTCAACACTAATATGACTTGTTTCTTGAAATTAGGTGTGTAAGCCGTGTAAACAGTTTATGTGTCATCTAGACAAATGCTTTCTATAGTAGCTTTGCAAATACACTACTTTTTAGAAGTACAATAATAAATTTTGTCTAGCAAACATGTTCCAGTATAGTCTCTAAACATATCAAGTGAATCAGGACATTCGTAAAAAATAATGTGATATTTGTTACTGCGGCATGACAACCATGAGGGCCACGACATGGTAACGCGATGCACCTACAGATGAATGTGCTGCAATCCTGTGGCTGTGACAACAGCTGCATGCAGTAATCAAGATTATGTTTTTGTATCGTGAATAGAGATGGCAACGGTGAATTCACCGTCGGGGGTCATGCCCGCGTCCCCGCCACCGCGGTGAAAATATTTCACCGTCCCCGTCCCCGTCAACCACGACGGGGCTATAATTTCTCCAGCCCCGATCACCACGCGGTGAATTTTTCCCCGTGGTGAACCCGTCCCCGGTTAAACAATATATTCACAGTCACAGATTGTAGTATACTCACCTTGCATCGTCGCTATTGTAGCTTTAGGGGGGAGGTGGCTGAAGGCCGAAGCCATGGTCGGCAGATGGCGGCGGCGACGGCAGTTCCCATTGGCGCGGCGACGGCGACTCCCGGCGGCACGGCGACGACGGCTCCCATTGAAGATGGCTGCAGGCTGGCGGCGCATCGACGGAGCCTGCCGGCCGCTCCTGGTGAAGATGGCTTCAGGCGTCGCGCGGCCCGGCGGCGCGTCGACGAAGGCGGCCGGCGACGGCAGCTTCAGTCTCCCGGCGAGAAGGCAGCGAGTGGCGGTGCGCGTGGTGGCTGGCGAACGGCGCCGGAGGTGGCTGGCGAACGGCGGCGCGCGCGGCTCCCGGCGGACTGGCGACCGGCGACGCACGTGACTCGGTCGGGTGGCTGGTGTGGATCTGGATCTGGATGGGTGGAAAATTTGGAGTTTGACCTGTTGACTTAGGGTTAGATTATATATGTGTCTGTTAAATGGGCTTCAATATTATGGGCCAATACATCTAAAAAGTCTATAATTCCTCCCTTGTACAGTACAGTCGGGTCACCGTCCCCGCCCCCGTCATCCCGATGGTGAGAGGTTTTTAACCATTTTATTCCCCATGGTGAGTAGATATTAACCATCCCCGTCACGTAATAGGTGAATTCACTGCGGGGAAACGGTGAACGGGCCCCATTTTCATCTCTAATCGTGAATGGACTAACACCACCATCATGTGCATGATTTCCTCTGCAACAAGCCCCAGTTTTGCCGTCACTTTCCATCACGACGTGTTGTTTTCAACCATTAGATAGCTTAATTAAGCTCTAATTAACAATCCACTAGTAGTTTCATATTAAAAAAAAAACAATCTATATAAGTCCTCCCTCCGTCCTAAAAAGACTCAATTCCTGGGGTTTTTATGTCTAACGTTTGACCGTCCGTCTTATATGAAATTTTTTTATGATTAATATTTTCATTATTGTTAGATGATAAAACATGAATAATACTTATGCATGATTTATCTTTTTATTTTTGTCATAACTTTTTCAAATAAAACGAACGGTTAAACATTAGACACGGAAGCCTAAAAATTGATTTTTTTTTTTACGGAGAGAGTTGCACCTTTTTCGTGAGTCCAATGAACCGTCAGCATGCAGAGATCCGTATCCAAACGACCCCTAGCTACTCAATTTTTAATTATTTCGAGAATTCTGCCCATGGTTTGCTGGCAAATCAAATCGCCTCGAAAGAAAAAAAAAGTCATGCTGAAAGGATCATAAGGATTAGAAAAATTACCATGGAAAACCGAGAGTACATGTACATACAGACGGCCCCGGTAAAGAAAGCGGCGGATGAGTCGACCGACGACGCCAGGCGGAAAACCAGCGGATCGTCTGCTGTTTGTTTCTCGTCAAACCAGCGGCAACGTCCCACAACATCTGCGCGCGTGGAACCTGGTTCTGCTGGCCCTTTTGCACCATGCGCCTTCGCCTTTCTGTATATCGCGTGGTCCCGTTTCTCGTGGTCTTTCTTCTCTATTTTTTTCTTAACTCCACTACACTTAGTACTAACAGAACAGAGAGTAGTATATATTCAGTCCTTTTCACTTAGGGCTTATTTAGGGAGCTTAAAATTCTGAGAAACATTTGTTGAGAAGCTAGCTGATGAGAATTTAGAGAAGCTGGGAGCTTATTTTCCAGATTCTATAACTACAGATTCTCAAAATCTGGGTAAAAAGCTAGATTGTTTGGAAAGCTTCTGGCAACTGAAGATTTTAGAAGAAGCTGCAGCTGCTATAAGCTCCCCCAAACAGACTCTTAATAAGTTGTATTACCTCCTCTTCTTTTATATTATTCATTTTATAAATCATTTTATTCTTTAAGTCAAAATTTTTACTAAATTTATATAAAAAATATAACAATATTTTTAACATCAGAAAAAAATATCATAACTACATTTTTCTTTTCTAAATAAAAATTTTAGTAAATTTATAAAAAATATAACAATATTTTTAACACCAGACAAAAAAACTATCAAAACATGTTTAATGTTAGAAGTAATAAAACTAATTTAGTGATATAAGTATTGCTATTTGTTTATAAACTTGATAAAACTTTAAAAAAGTTTGAAAAAAAGATTTGTAGTATGAAATGGAGGAAGTATATGGTACATTGGATATGTGTATGACGTCGATATTACGGATAATTGTTGTACGATTGTGTGAATACCTTAATCTGACCAAAATTTGTTCTGAGCTCATATTCTCAGCGCATCCTATTTATACTTGTATACTCCCATTCCGGTATATGAGATTCTACTAAAATTTAGTCCCTTTGGTTCCATATACTTGTCATTGGTTACTTTTGTTTTTTTAACTTTGACAACTCGTTTTTTTCTGACAAAATGAGAAAAACATATTGTACCACACAAACAAAAGAAATATAACTTTCACTAATCATACATTAATCGTTTAAACGCTAGTACTGATCAAAGCTGAAACAGTAGTGACAAGTAAATGAGGATGGAAGTAGCCTAAAATCGGATCAGGGATGATCGGATACCACATTTCCCACATTTCCCATATCTGAACTCATTTTTATTGCGGAATCACCAAATTAGGTCAGGGCATAGATACTATCAAAAATGGATAGAAATATAAATATTATCGGCAACAAACATGAAAGTTTCATACTCAAGATAGATATGGATAATATCTATTACAAATACTTAATTGGGTATCAAGTCAAAGCAATAACATTATATACCACATTTGTAATAGCCATTTATCCATTCCATATATCCAAAAATACAACCATATTAAGATGGAAGTATAGTGGCAATGGTTGTTGGAGGGTCCGTTGCTTGGCAATGGAAATCTCGCCCTCGCTGAGCCCAAATATCGATTGACAAAGAGACAAATCATTTTATAAGGACAAAGTGCAACATTACTCGTGTTATGGTGTACAACCTATAATAACACCTTAATCGAGGGATCGAAACGTAATTACGTAAAGCAAACCCCTCCGCGGCGCCGCGCCTCGTTTGTTTATATAAACAGCAGCATATTAACCTGCGAAACCAGTCAGCCGTCTGTCTCATCGATCGATTGATTCCTCGTGTCTCCGTATATTCGATCACCGCGATTCATCCTTCTTGCAGGTAAAGATTCTACGAGGTTTTGACGAAGTTGATTGTTTCTTTTGATTCTCGCAAGAAAAGATGCGCCCTTTTTTTTCCCTTTTCCTGTTCTTTTCTGGCCATTCCTCGGTCAGTCGTTCTGTCCCCGAGAGCTGCTTTCTTGGGGGCATTCAGTTGTTGCTGGGGCCGGGATGGGCGCACGGGGTGGGTGGGGGCAATGGCCGTCGGCGTGCCGAGCGGAGGAGCGGCGGGAGCGACGTCGGCGTTTCGTCGAACACTTGGCGGGCGTCCAGGACTCCGGGTGGCGTATGGCCTGGTTGGTGGTAGCCAGGGCCCAGGGGTTTAGGTCGGTTTCACAGCAAACTGCAGGTTGGGTTAGGATGGTGAGATTTTCAGAATCTTTTCGAGGAGAGGAGTTGACAGAGTCTGAAAGTTCAGAACTGAAACCTGAAGAGAAAATCGGGTCCTGACTCCTGACAGGAGTGCAAAATGGGCGTGTAGGTGCAGGCTATTCTATTTCTTCCTGTTTTGTTCTTTTGCTCACTTCTTCACATCGAGGTCGAATCAACAACAATTTTAAGCTTTTGTTTCTTTTAGTTTCTGACATGGTCCTTGTTTTCTCTTCAGAAGAAAGAATCATGGCATGTGCTGCTTCGAGTGTAAAAGGTTCTCTCAACGTTGGAGGAGCTAAGGCATTCAGCAATAATTTGTTTCGTGATTACTTGAAATCTTCGGTGTCTTATCCCGTTTCAGAGATTTCTTCTCCCATCAGAGCGCAACATGTAGCATATGGTTCGAATCTCATTGTTAGGGGTTCTAAGAGCAGGGACTTTAGCTCGAAGCTCGCATCGACAAACGGCAGCTCGAAGATTTCTGGTATGATACTCCTGGAGAAATTTAATTTCATATTCGTGTATGCTATCACTTTTCAAACACTTTTCTTGCATTTTAAAATTTGCTAGATATGGTTTATGAGGAAATTTCAAATTTACCTGATGCCCTGATGCATTCAGAGGGTTGACAAATTACTTAAGCAAAAGTTCTTTTTTTTTTCAAATTGTCATTTAAATTTTATATGTTCGTTTGTCACATTTTTAAATGCTAGATATGGTTTATGAGGAAATTTCAAATTAACCTGATGCCCTGATGGCTGATGCACTCTGAGGGTTGACAAATTACTTGAGCAAAAGCACTTCTTTTCAGACAAATTAACAACAGAAAAGCCTGTTAATTAAATTATATATATTGCTTTGTTACAGAAGAGAGGGTAACTGTATTGGTCATTGGTGGAGGAGGAAGGGAGCATGCTCTTTGTTATGCCTTGGAGCGCTCTCCATCCTGTGATGCAGTCTTCTGTGCCCCTGGTAACTCTGGCATTGCTCAATCTGGAGATGCTACATGTATACCGGACCTGGACATATCGAACAGCGACGCGGTCATCTCGTTCTGTCGCAACTGGGGAGTCGGGTTGGTTGTAGTTGGGCCTGAAGCACCCCTTGTTGCTGGCCTTGCAAATGAGCTTGTCAAAGCTGGGATACCTACTTTTGGTCCTTCATCAGAGGCTGCAGCGTTAGAAGGGTCAAAAGACTTCATGAAGAAGTTGTGTGATAAGTACCACATTCCCACCGCAAAGGTACTTTCTCTTTAATTTTGTGGATTTCTATAACATATTTTCTCACTTGGATGAACTTGTTTGAGAGATGATTTATTCATTTGCTTTGAAATATAACACAAGTATAATCTGAATAAGAAACACATATTCTTGTTTGTCTTGGTATATGGTTTCTAATTTCTATTGTTATTTTCTAATACTTAAACTATATTTATGTTTTAATTATTAGATTCTGAGTCCCAAATACACATATACTTGTTACTTGTTGCTATTCATATATATACATCCTTATTCCTCACTTAATGATCTCTATTACTGTTTGTTTTCATATCAAGTTCCATGTGCAGGATTAATGAGCCATTTTAGCTATTGTAATTGTTAAGAAATTTTATCACTGTTTAACTAAGTCGGTTCTACTGCACAGTACCAATCTTTCACAGATCCTTCAGATGCTAAGAAATATGTTGAGGAGCAAGGAGCCCCTATTGTTGTTAAAGCCGATGGATTGGCAGCTGGGAAAGGTGTAGTTGTTGCTATGACTTTGGAAAAGGCATTTGAAGCAATAGACTCTATGCTGGTTGAAGGTTCATTCGGTTCTGCTGGGTCACGGGTAATAGTTGAAGAATATTTAGAGGGGGAGGAGGTTTCTTTCTTTGCTCTAGTGGATGGAGAAACTGCTTTGCCTCTTGAATCAGCCCAGGACCATAAAAGAGTTGGTGATGGCGATGTTGGTCCAAATACAGGTGGTATGGGTGCATACTCCCCTGCACCAATAGTGACGGAAAAACTCAAGTGCAAAGTGATGGAGAGCATCATTGTCCCGACTGTTAAAGGTATGGCAACTGAAGGATGCAAGTTCGTCGGTGTGTTGTATGCTGGGATCATGATTGAGAAGAAATCGGGACTGCCAAAGCTTATTGAATACAATGTGCGATTTGGTGATCCAGAATGTCAGGTTGGTAATCCTTTATATATGACGTTAGCTTTTGAACATAAATCATCCTAATTTGCAGTTTTGCATGCTGCAATTTAGCTTTAGAAACAGATACTGTCGTTATGATGTTATTTTAACTTCTTCACAAGCAGTGGCGGAGCTAGTAATTTAACCTTGTGGGGTCGATTAATACCAGTTTATATTTAAGTGGGGTCATTTTTCTAAGTTTTCTGGATTTATATATAAAAATCAAGGTTTTTAAAGGGGGTTTTTAAAAACCTGTGGGGTCAGACAACCCCAGAGGATATGTATGGATCTGCCACTGTTCACAAGCAACATTTGATGAAAGGATGCTCTTTTAGAGGCACAAAAATAGCCAACATGAAGATAGCATATTTCATATTTATATTTGAAATTTATTATTACAGAACATCACAGTCCAGCTCATATTGGGATGATTTCTATTGCTTGTTTTTCTCCTCTGGACAATATCTGCAGTGCAGATGTGCAATTACAATAGCATATTTTTCATCCTTTAATATGTACTTCCTCTGTCCCAAAATGAAGACATTTTTGAGGTTGGCACGGGTATTAAGAAAGTAGGTGAGAATGATTGGAGGAAGTGTGTGATTGGTTGAAAAGAGAAAGTAGGTGAAGAAGAATGGTTGTGATTGGTTGAGAGGAGGAGGTAGGTGAAGAAATAGCTTCATTTTGGGACAAGACACTGTGCTAGAAATAGCTACATTTTGGGACGGAGGGAATATTGGCATAGAAGGTTGCAATGTTGGGATTTAAAGCCTAAGAGTAGTTCAAACTTGTCCCATAAAAAAAGGGAGGGAAATTTGGACTTGCATTACAGGTGCTTTAAAAGTGAGTTTAATTCAAAGGCCCTCACATTTTGCATTGTCAAAATTGAGCTCCCACAAAACAAACATAAGTCGAGGAAATGCTTGAAACTACAGTTTGAATATGGAACTCATATACTGTTTCATTTCACTTTGTCATTAGGTACTGTGTGCAGAACACCAGTACTTGCATGTGCAGATTTTAAGGGAGCTACTGATTACATCTCAAACTGAAAGACAAAATTGCATCCTAGTTAAGCAGCATTGTGCTTATAGTGGAGGAATTTCAATATTTACTGTTTAATTTTGTTTTTGAAATAATCTAGCTGTATTGTTAGCCTGTTCATGTCATCATTCTAACAATACATTTTCCTTTTTTCCCAGGTTCTGATGATGCGGTTACAATCCGACCTCGCACAGGTCTTGCTTGCTGCATGTAGGGGAGAACTGGGGTCAGTCTCACTAACCTGGTCGCCTGAATTGGCAACTGTGGTTGTGATGGCAAGTGAAGGTTACCCTGGTGTTTACAAGAAGGGGACAGTAATAAAAAATATCGATGAAGCTGAGCAGGTCTCTCCTGCAGTTAAGATCTTTCATGCTGGAACTGCCCTAGATCGAGATGGAAACTTCGTCGCGGCAGGAGGCCGTGTTCTTGGTGTAACCGCGAAAGGTAAGGACATTGAGGAAGCAAGGGCAAAAGCATATGACGCTCTCGACGTTGTCGACTGGCCAGAAGGATTTTTCAGGCATGACATTGGTTGGAGAGCACAGAAATATCGGCGCATGGTTGCACACTGATAGGCATGTACTGTAAATCTGTAACTATGTTATGTTTGTGATGTTAATGGGAATACAGCGACAGGGGAATGGGCATAATATTTAAGTAGTGGATGCATGGAGATGGAAGTAATTGGCAGCTTGGATTAGTTCCTTGATCGAGGAACACGTTCTTCTCATCACTAGTTTCTTTTTGGTAGTACATGTGTTTATATTTTCACCTTCTGTATTGTAATAAGAACTGGTGTGGACCAATGATGAATGCAACTTGCTTATCAATATACTCCCTCCCTTTTTTAATAGATGGCGCCGTTGACTTTTTCTCACATGTTTGATCATTCGTCTTATTCAAAAAATTTATGTAATTATAATTTATTTTGTTATGAGTTGTTTTATCACTCATAGTACTTTAAGTGTGATTTATATCTTATATATTTACATAAAATTTTTGAATAAGACGAATGGTCAAACATGTGAGAAAAAGTCAACGTCATCATCTATTAAAAAATGAAGGGAGTATTTTGATATTGAAGAACATATCCATTTATATTTTTCCTATTATATTTAGATATAGTAAGGCTCTAATAATGATAAATCTCAAGGACAAAGCAAATCATTTATTTATAACTCTTTTGACAATGCATCTATATAATTTAGCCACCTTTGACAATAAGAGTCAATGGCAAATCTAGGATAAAAATAGAGGTGATGCTAATACTACATAACGCAAAAATTATTGGAAATTGTATTTCCTGAAAAATATGGTCTTAAATATCCGTGCTTCGTTTTGAAAAAAAAAAAAACGTTCGTCTTGTTGAATTATTCAATTCGATGTGCCATGCATGCACAGCTCAACGAAGTAATGCTGAAAAAGGAAAACAAGAGCTCCTGGTAGATGATAATATCTGTTTGTTCTCACTGGTTTGCTAATCGAGCTGTGTTTAATTATCAGAAGATAGATGGGGGC